TGTGTGTGCGTGTGTGTTTGTGCTTTTACAGTTTTGATCAAATAGGGCACTACCTTCTCACCGGTGCCTCGGATTCACATATCTATGTACTAGATGCAAAGCCATCAAAGAGGTTTTCAGTCATAGGATACACAGGTAGATACTCCTTTTAACACTTTATAATTGATTCGATAGGTTACTGCTCTCCTGCACATACCAAAAACCAGCGTCAACTGACCAGTTCATTCTAGCTTTGAAATAATATACAGACATATTGTAAATTGTTGTTCTTTTACTGTAACATTTGAAAGATTAAGCTCACCAGCATCCTTTTGTCATTTGGCTTTTATTTTCCAGCTGTTCCTGGACCCGTTTTGTCACTTTCCACTCAGTGCATGAGGAACAGTAAGCAGGTGAAAGTTCTCGCCCTGTGCACGGGTCAGGAGGGCAAAAACCATGATGGTAACCTGCTCACAGTGCTCTCTCTGCCTGTGAGGGACCTTACAGGTATGGCACAGATGGAGGAGAGAGCTATTTTATAGTAGAGGACACATTATTCATAAGATGTGGTGGTGATGTTGACATAAAGCAATTCAACTAATTCAGACAGAGGCTAGGGAGGTTCACTGCATACATGGGAGGAGTGATGTTTGGACAAAAGAGAAGTATTTATGTTGCAACCAGCAGTCAATGAATCATCCCCTGTAACGCAAAGGAAAATTTACAGGGTGATTGATCATTATTACAAACGCCAAATGTAACAAAGCAATAAAAATAAAGTTGCCAGTTTACTGGACTTCCATTTGCCTTCTGTTCTTATTGTTTTAATACTGGAAATCTCATCATTCCTCCATGATGATGCTCTGACAGTGGACTTCAGTGTTGCTTCCAAAACAGTGTTCAGGTACATTAGCATAATCAATTAATAGTACTCAACTGGACATTTTAATCCAAATGTTTAGACGGGTTAAACTGTATACTATTACTGTACACGGTTAAAAAGGGAGAAACACACCCTTTGTTTATACAGTCTGGGAAACTATGTTGAACAAGATAGACCATGAGACAGGTCTCTAGAGAAAAGTGCAAACATAAAGTCTAAGGTGAGGCAGCAGATTTAAGCTGTGACACACAGCGTTGGGTTATAAACCATGGCTGCAGTGTTCTTTAAGGTTCTGTCGACGTGATAGTTAAAACCACCAGTGATAATGACTTTCGTAATAATCAATTGAGGATAAAACTTCTTAAGATCTGGTTAAAATACAATTTCATTATGTATTGTTATATCAGTGTTTAGAGAGTCGTTCTATATGTGGTGTATTTTATATACTGATACAGTACTTCTGTTCTCCAAACAAAAGTGCCAACTACCGAAGAATACCTCGTGTTATTGTAAATGTGTAGATGCAGGATTAACAGACTGTATTAGTTGTCACTATGGACGGGCATTGTTTGAACTAAACATAAAAAGGAGCCTGACTGTTTCTAATTACTCATTTATTTACTGATACATATATTTATGATGTGCCCACCTGCAGGTCCAGATTGTGTAGACCGACATGGTTGTCTGTCTACTCACATCCTCAAAGTGTCCAGATACAAAGTGCCTCATCCACTTAAGTCCTGTGTTCTGGGAGTCAGTGAGGTCTTTGCTTACTGCCACAAGAAGAAAACTCTTCAGCGATTTCAGCTTCCTCAGGTTTACTGCTGCCTCACATTTCTTATGATCCTTATTCTCTGTCTTCATCTAAATGTTGATACAGTTATAGAAAGATCTTTGTAAGTCTTTGTATTTTAAAATATAGCACATTTTAATATAAGCAGTTGTCTCAGGTCTGTGTTCTTAATCGGTGTCTTAACACATATTTAATCATTATCCTACTCTGTGATCTTTTTGTCCAGGACACAGATGGTGTCTCCAGTCAACAGGTGGTCCAGCTGAAACCAGAGCAGGAAGTGAGGGGTCATCCTCTGGGCCCTGCCTCTCTCATTCTGTCTCCTCACCAGCTGTGGCTGGCTTCTGTGGGCCGAGATGGCCTACTACGCCTCCGAGAAACTGCTTCCATGGTTGGAGCTCATTCTATTTAGTTGTATTCTTTTTCTTGTAAACATTTGAGTCACGTTTCCATTGTCTGTTGTTGTGTATTACGATGCTGTTGCTGCACCTACAGGAGCGGTACATTGAGCTGCAGTGTCATTCATGCCGGGGTGGCGGAGTTCGGAGTGTGGCGTTCACTGCTGACAGTCAGACACTCCTCACTGCTGGCGTTACAGATGGCTCCCTTGTGTGTACTACTCTCAGGTACAGCAGCATGCAGCCTGTCATGCTTACATAATGTACCGCTGTGTACACTAGAGGGAACTGTTGCTCGCAGCAGGGCTGTCACTCTTGTGCGGTGTGCTATAGCGTACATAACACATTATTTTTCCTTTCTTTGCCTTTCATGTGCGGGACAATAGTAAATAAATACAACTAAAGTGGTGGGTTCAGGGGGATCGTGGTCACAATCCGCAGGAAAACAAAGATCCAATAAACTTCACAGCACAGTCTCCGCGCTGAATCAGATCCCACTCACATTCCACATCTGCCTCCTCTGCTTGCTCCCGCACGCTTTTGTTTTGAATTTTAAAAACCTTTTTTTCCTTAGCACTCCTTACTACATTTACATTATTTTAAATCACTGTTGTTTTAATATATTCCAGGGATTGTTGATAATAATGAAATAATTGATATTATGTGAATTTAAAGGACAGGTCTGGTGATATACTGCTTTTTCTTTTGTTTGTTTGGACAACAAATCCCATGATAACAAAGAAAACCAATTATTTGTGATTAAGTAAGTATTGGCTGTGTAGCTAAAGACTTATATATCTTACTCTTCTGTGCTTATTATAAACATGTAGATGAGTCACACCATGACACTGGGTGACATGTTTCTTCATTTTAATCAACACATGCGCTGTGGTTTATTTTGAGTCAATCCAATAAATGTGGTCCTGCTGCCATAAATACTCATTTGTGCACTGAATTCACATCTAAAAACTACTGACTCCTGTTTGAGTAACATTTGCTAAAAAATACAATCCCCTCCTGTTTTGTAAAATAACTTTAAAACCTTTTCGTAAAGAATAAAAGAAGAATTTGTGGCCTGTTTTTAAAGATTTACGTCTTCAGTAGGAACATGTTGGGCTTGGTGCGGCGCGCCACAGACGAGGTAGCGAAGTCAGAAATGATAGAGACAAAGTAATTACTGTTAGTTTGGTCTTTTCATGGGATTTGTTGACGATAATACATATGAAGAATATCATTTCTATTTTACTTCTTCTACACTGTTGACCCATTTTAGGTCTGTCAAAATTAGATATAAAATGGCTATTCTTATCTGCTCTCTCACTGTGTATATCTAATGTGTTTCCCATGGCTCCATACAGAATGAAAGGTTTGGCTTCTGGCAAGGTGAATGAAGCGACTCACTATAGCCAGTCTATGTTTCACTTCTTGATGCCCACATTCAAAAAGGAGAATATGGTCCTCATCGGCTTGTCTGAGTGGGGCCAGGGGTCTCCCACTGCCACTGAAAAAACAGAGGAAAGTCAGGTAAATTATGGAAAATGGAAGGAAAACAGTATAATTCAAACTACCACCTCCAAAATGATTATAAAATGCATAAAATGCCCCTCTAAAACATTGTATTACAGACTTAGAATAAAAATAATATTGTCCTGCTGTACTGGACAGCAGGTTGCGTTGGTATTGTAGGTGATAAAGGGGAAGAATATAATGGTAATGTGAATTGTTTGTTAAAAAAGGTTTGTTTCTGAACGGCTTCCATAAAACATAATCAACACTTTCTGTTCTTAATTAAGGCACTGTGGTCTAAATCTGGAAAGAATATTTCATAATTTAACACATATAATTTATTGCTCATACAAAGGCCTCATTCATTACTTAACTAGATTAACATTTTAGCAATTATTTGACAAATTGTTTTTGTTATTATTATATTCTATACTATTATTTTAATTATCTGTATCTGCGCGTTATTTGTATGTGCTGTTAACACTCTGTAGGCCAGTGCTGCGGCAGAGACTGTGGATGTGACAGAGCAGGACGAGAGTTATAACAGCTTGCTGTCTGCTCCACCTTCACACGCCACCTGGCTGGAAAGCAGGCGAGAGGCGGTTAGTGACTAACATGCTGAATATTTGCAGTGGTGGCATAAGATGTGGATAATGTTAACTATGTTTAGATATCTGTCTTGTGTCTCTACATCGTTGCAGGTGGAGGGTTACGAAAGTGCCCTTTGCACCTGTGTGTGATATCTTGCATTGTTGCTGTTGGCACACAGTTTCTCTGTGCAACAGCTTGATTTATCGTCACCCAGTGTGTGAGAAAGTCAACCAATTAGCAAATGGGAAAGTAAAGCAGATAAGCATTTGTAAAAAAAAATGTTAAGTACTTTGTCACCTGGCAAAGCTTCTTGATAACAATAAATTGATACCGAAGGCGTGGCAGTCTTTGAATTGTGGGTTTTGCACCTCGTTTACAGTCACACGTGGGAAATGGGCTGAGGAACTTTCCAGCCGGCTTTTATGCTACAACATGCTTTGTAATCTGACTCACATGTTCTGTGAGGACTCCTGTTCAGATCAAGTTGCATCATGTTGAGTGATGAAGTGTTTGATAGCATACAATTTATTTTCTTTTCCCATGTTGTTAAATGTATCATAATTAACAAGACGTTTGTGTGTCATTTACATTAACTTACTGTTGAAAGGTGGGAAGGAATTGTTGACATGAGCTAACTGATTCAATAATGGAGTTGAAATCTGTCACTTGTTTTCAATTTGTGTATTTTAAACAGGCTATAAAAGAAGAAAATGAGCAATATTCTGCGACAAAGAAAAACTTGAAGAAAACCATCAAAGAGTTACGTGACACTGTAAGTGAATTATTTTATTTTATTTTTTACATATTTGTTATTTTACCTCTTAATTAAGAAGATACTCAAGGTCTTGAGCAAGAAAAAAGTATCTTGACAAACATAAAACTTGCTGACAAAACAACATCCCACAGTGCATGTAAGCACAAATGCTGTATCATTAAACATGTTTGGTAAGTGCTTTTCAATTCAAAAATACTTATCCCTGTAATTATACACAGCAGCTCACTAACCAGGGCAACACTCACACACACAAAGGATAAAAACTGTATGTGGAATAAATAAAACAATACCAAGCCATGATAAAGTTAACTAATGTCAACACTTAATTGAAAGTATTACAATAAAAGCATCATCAGTCTTAACAGTTTACCTATTCTAAACTCACCCCTTTAATTTCAGGTTCAGGTTTAAATTAAAGGCCGGTGCACAATTACAAAACAAGTCACAGGGAGGTGTTAAAATCCAACAAACAATATGACGACTGAACTATGTTTACTATATCTTTAGATCCAGGACATGATGCGTGAAAATGAGAACCTCCCAGATATTGAGCGTCTGGAGCAACAGGAGTTCAACCTGGATGTTGAGGAGCAGAGGAGATTGGAGGACATGGTGGAACAGGAAGTTACCCGGGTACTGCACACACACATGTGAATGTAACGCAGCTTTAATTTTGCCTTGAGGTTATGATAGCAGTGATTCTTAATGCTGTCACATTGTAGGTGAGAAATGAAATCGAGGTGGAGATTTTAGCAAAATGTTACCTCCGTGATGTCCTGAAGAGAGAATGCTGGGATTCTATGAAGGTCAAAGGCAAGGCCATTAAGGTAAGACGGCTTAGGAGCATGCACTGAGACATACTATCACAGCATGTTGCACTGAGAGTTTTAAATCACTTCTGGCTGTCTACCACAGGCCTTTCACTCCGAACACGAGGTGAAGAACTACCCTCTGAAAGAACGAACCGAGAAAGAGGTGGAAGACCTTCGCAGGGTTCAGAATATGAGGAAGTTTGAAATGGCTGCCTGCACCGTAAGCAAAGTTAGTCCACAGGCCTGAAGAGTTTGTGGTTTAGATTCTGGTTAACACTGCAAAGAGAAGCACATGTCATGAGTTAGAATGAGCTAGATGATATGTTGACTGTTTTTAATGTGAAACAGAAAGGCAGCATGAAAAGTCCCAGCAAGCAACGCATCAAAAATCCTCCATTTTCTAAAAGCTGCGACAATGGAGCCTCTTCAGTATGTTGGGGTTTTACTGCCTGGCAATACATTATATGGCAAAACCAATCAAAACAGGTTTTACAGCTGGAAAATAATTTGATGCTTTGAATCATAGTTCTAGTGTGACCTTTCACTGTTTTAACAGTGAGCTTTTTAAAATGCTTGAATGCGTGCCAGTCCACCAGTGTTGAAATCTCTGTAGATTTATGGTTGTGTGGCCAAAATACTTCTCTTCACTGCAATATTCTTGTGATGAAGTTTATAATCTTACATTTAACGTAACAATTATTTCAGCCCTCTGATTCAATCTATTTTCCCACCTTTCGACTGCAGCAGAGCAACCTAAAGAAAAGGTCAGACACAACCAGTGCGAAGGAGGAAGCGCAGGAGGATGAAGACCGTAAGTCAGGGAGTGCTGCTGTAACAGGAAGTTTCTCCACTCAGTTAGGATATTCAAGTCCTTACATCTACGATCAGTTCAGCCTGCAAACCACAGAACAGAGGATCAACCAGATAATTCTGCTGCAGGTGGGAACCTGTTGAAAAACGGTTGTATTTCAGCGAAAGTGTTATAATAACGCCTTTATATTTCTAAAACAGTGCCCAACACACACACTTAAGCAAGAAGTGACAAAAAAAAGCAAAGTTAGATAAAGAGCACCTAATTGACTTACATGATAAGAACTGTCATACATGGATATTGTCATGATCACAAAAAGTATTTTTTCACTCCTCTCCGAATGCAGGATGTGATTCATTGCATCAAGTCAGCTTTCAACGCTGACTTTGAGGCCGTGCACAGGCAGAAGTTGCAGGAGCTCAACCGTGTGAGGGAGAGGAACAGACACATCAGGGGGATCAAGCTGGAGCTGGACCTGAATGACAGTCTGTGGGAGCCCAGCCTGACCACCAACGAGCAGCCAGAGAGGCTTCTGACCGTGGACGATTCTGAGGTTACTGACCTCCGCATTGGGAAAACATTCTAGACAGTTGCAAAGGTTTACAGAAAGTTTAAAAAACAAAGCGTACATCCTGAACTACTTTGTGGTTTGTTTGTTTTTTTAGCAAAATGTGAAATAGTATGTGATTATCATCATATGAGAGGCTTTTTCACAGTTCACCAGAGAGATATGTGCCTTTGTCCCACTCTAGATAAAAGCTGAAAAGTACCTTACCCCAGAACAGAAAGAGGAGGAGGAGAAGAAGAAGTTGGAAGAGCAGAGACATTTGGCTGCCAAGGTATGCTGCCATTATAAATTTGTTTTTGTTTTTCACACTCTTGTATGTCGCTATTTACAAATTCTTCAGATACTTCCATATATAAAAACTACATCTATGATTATTATTGACTATAGTAACATACAGTACATTTAACAGTCCTTTACCTGAATGAAATGAAATATATTAATGGCTTATGACTATGTGATATGCAGCATACGCAGCAAGTCATAAATAAAAGTAGTTCAGTACTGTCATATTGATGAGGTTTGTGTCTTTCTATTGCAGAGTGATTCCTTCAGAGACAGGGCTCTTGGTGACATGATGGATGGAGTGCTTGAAGTGAAAAAAGAGGACATCTTGAAAATGGTGTGTCAAAATTTCACATTTTTGCACAAATACAGTAATAGATTGATCCCAGAGACACACCCCTGGAATTTCAGATCGTTCTGTCTCCTGTGTTAGTTTATATGATTGAAAGAGCTTTCTTATTAAATTAACAAAAGTTTTATTGATAATGAAAATAATTGTTTTCTTATGAATGTTCATCATTAGATGCTCATTTATTATGTAATTAGATAGTATGCAAAGAGTTCACACAAAACAAGAAAACCCTTTCCTACCTCCTGAACTCATTTCTTATGACGTATACAAAACGCTACATCTCACTACAGCCAAAATGAACTCCTTAACACTCACACAGGACACTGTTCATTCTCTACCTTTTGGCAAATTATGACTTGGTTGTTGTTTTTTTTTACTTGAATTCTTTTTTAGTCAGTGTCAGCTAAATTAGACAAATCAGCATGAAGGGCACATACTTTCTATTGAATTGACTCCACAGGAAATACCTCCGCCTGAGTTTGTTTTGACCAAACCTGGCATCAACTGGAGTGAGGAGGAGAAAAAAGTCTATAAAGAGTATGAAAAGAAATCCAAAGACCTGAACGAGGAGAAGGAGAGACACAAAAAGGTAGAGTTGATAAATCACAGTCCTGCTTTGCCGTGATTAAAAATATGATTAACTTCTGATCAGTGATCAATATAAGTCGTCTAGTAAACTGTGTAATTGCAGACACTGGAAACAGAAATGAAAAAACTGCTGGCAGCCACCAAAGATGCAACTGTAAAGGTTGATGAGACTTTGACAAAGCTGTTTGAAAAGAAAGTGAAATGTGAAATGACTATATATCAGGTGAGCCAACACACACACACACACACACACACACACACACACACACACTAAATGTATGTGACACATGGACAGACTCAAGTCAATCTGCATCACATTGCTTCCTTTTGTTTCCCTTCTCTCATTTCCCTCACACATAATGAAGAGGCCTTTCTTCTCATTGTAGTTTCCTCCTTCAGATAATTGTGCGATGTGATATCTTGTGTCTGAAACACGTTAAAAAAACATCCTCTTTAATGTTGTGTTTTATGTATTTTACAGGAAGAGCTCAAGATTACTTATCTCATCTATTCAGTCCTCCTAGAAGAGGAGATGAGAAACCGAGAGCTGGAGCTCAAGTTCAAACTTGAAGAAACTGTGGCACACAAGGTCAGAAAACTCAAACACAGTAATGCTGAAAGAATTTATGGCTGCCAGCTTCAGATTCTGTAATTTGTGAGACACGCTGAGTGAATGGTAGTGGTGTTCTTCCAAATTCTAGTATAAAAATCTTACCATCGCTCAGGCGTGTCTTGCAAGAGCTAACCTGTGCTGAACGGCCATTTGTTCAGGGTTCGCAACTGCCAGTCGCTGTATCCCGTGTGTGCTACTCTCGTCTTATCCACATTTATTTCTCTGCCAGGATGAAATCGCGGAGGAGATGAAGAGACACGAAGAAGAAGTAGAATTATTTTATGAAACCTATGATAGAGTTGTAGCTGAGGACAAAGTAAGCCAGCTGGTAAAAATAGTAAAAGCATTGTGACTCTAGGTGATGGTGACCATACATAATATAATATCCCTCCATGTCTCTCAAGGCTCTTGACAAAGAATTCAGGAAGGAGTTCTTTGATATACCAACTCATGTGGTTGATCAACTATATAAGTTATTCAAGCGCAGACCCAGGTTTGTAATACTCGCCATTTAATGAAATATAATGCAGTTGTTCTGACTCATAGCTTTATATATACATATATATATATATATATATATCATAATATATATTAATTATATATTATATATATATATAATATATTTATACTATATATATTTTATATATATATATATATATATATAAAGCTGCGTGACTTGATATCAGCATTATAAGTTGTAAATGATTTAACAGTTGCAGCACACAATCTTTTATGCGTCAGGGTTCAAAAGATGAGGACCCAGACTGACAACAACTCCAATCCGTTGAAAGAGCAGCGCCTGTGCGGTTCTCTGGCTCCCGATTCGCTCAGCAAAATGCTGCAGGCCATGGAGGAGCTGGATGCTCCGGAGAATATGCCAGAAGGCTTGAACCCATCGATCTGGGAGAGGTTTTGTGTTGTTCGCAGAACAAAAGTAGAGAGTGAGCAAAAGGTGAGAACAGGTTAAAGACTGGGAATATAGACAGACAGAAAGTGTCTGTCTACAGACAAATCTTTGTAATTGCACTCACGAACAAGGCTTTCCAATTTATAGATGTAGCTTCTCCATCTTTGCATATTTTTCAAAGGTTTTCACTTTTTTACATCATCCTCAGCCCAGCTATTAAACTGAATTATTTTTTTTTGTGTCTTGTGTCTAGTCGTCCACTCACTGTTTGACTTGTCCTTTGCAGGTAAAAGTAAAAGCTTTGACTCTTGCTGAGATACAGGCGTTTGTGCAGAGGAGGAGAGATGAGGAAAAGGCTGCTCAACAGGAAATTAAAAATATCTCTGATGAACTTGAGAGGTAAGACAGATTATAGGGAGGACCTGAGAGGATGGCACAAGTCTTAATCTCACTGTAACCTGTAACGTGTATTCTATTTCTCTATGGTGCTTTACTGGGTTTTGTTGTCCTGTTCTCTTCTAGTCTGTATACGGAGAAGAGCCATTTCCTGACTGACCTCATGGTCCAGGTCATACTCAAACAGGGCCAAGTGGAGCTGTCGACCACAGACCTGACTGCTGACTACACTGACTCTGTACTTACCCACAGGAGCGTGGTGGAGGACTTCAACAGAACCATCAGGGTACGGAAACCACCACTCGTTACAAAACATAGATTCTTCAAGGATTGTTTGTTCTTATGATGGATCTATATACAAATGTGTGTGTCTGTCAAATGATTCATATCTGTACAATCAGACGCTTGGAGAGCAGAAAATAGCCTCCATGGTGGAGTGCAAAGACTTTCGCAAGGGCATCATCCAGCTGCAGTGGGAGCACAAGATGATGGGGATGCAGATAGAGGACCTCAACAGCAAGGCGAGGGACATCCAGATGTTACGACTCACTGAGGACCAACAAGATGTGAGTGTAATTATTACAACACCCTTTACTTTACCTTTTCTTTACTTTTTTACTAAGTAAAAGGACATACGCACTAAATAACTCTTTTCTATGCCATAACTCTACTAGATAGTGAACAGATTTGACCTTTTACATAATTCATGGTAATTCCAAAAATTCAAAAAGTTCAGCATATGCCTGAAACAGCGATTAAATCTCGGCTTTTGGGGTGAAACCTTAAACCTGTTAGCATCTCTGGCCGAACTTCAGTCAGTGATATCAAGGCAGGTATTTTGGTTTTGGCAGCATCAGATGTTTTGTGAGCAGAAAATTGTTACCATCCCTAAGAACAGATGGGTGATCTTTTGTTATCACTCACACACACACACACAAACAGGGTGGGGAATCTGCATAGATCGGCAGACTCCACACCCTGTTTTTCTTTCCTCCTTTTTGCATCTTTTAAAACTCCTGCAACCCAATAGTTCAAGCTCTGTTTTAACATATCAGCCATGTTTTTGCAATGATTCAAGATTCTAGTAAACAGAAAACAGAAAAGGCTTCTCTGCTTTATTTGGCAGCAAATGTCAATCTGAGGCGCGAACAGGCATTTTTAATTAAATACAGACCACGAGACTTGACAAGAAAATACTTTTCTCCTGGTTGCAATCCATTAACCCCTTAGCACACATTACAAAACACAAGGAATTTCATGAGTTAGTGATATAAAAAGACAACAGGGAGGTGGTGGTTGAGCAATGAAAGAAAACATGAAGATCATATGAGTCATCCATCATCTTCATTTCAACAAGTCGATGAGCATGGCACACACAAAACATGTTTTCATGCCCGAATGCCGGTTTCCTCTGGAAAAAGGCTCAGGTAGCTCCGCTCAGGCGTGGCACACAGCTTCCTGTCATTGTTAAGCCCCGAAACATGAGAGAGAAACACTTTAAATATAAACAAAAGCATCCTGAGAACATTTTATGATGATGCATTTTTGCCATTAATGTTGTGGGATCCTTCATCACAGGAGCGAGTGCGAGACACTTCATGTTGTTGTGTTTTTCCGAGTTCTCAACGTGCCAATCATTCCCATTTGTTCCCAGTATCTCAACAAGACAGATCGAGACAGTCGGGTGTCCAAGCAAGTTTCCATCCTGGAGAAAACCATAGCCTTCCAGGAAAAGGTAAAAGTAACTATTTGAGCTCAGTAATCAGCTCCGTAGTGTGTACTTTCCATACCTGACCGTTAATTTAATACACATATTATTCTCTATTCTCAGACTCATCAACAGAGCGTGCAGCACCGCATTAAAAAGATCGAAAAGCTGAACAGGCAGGCAGCGAGGAAAGCGAAGAAGAACACGGCTGTAGAACAGCAGCTACCGGATGTGCAGGTGACTGTGGCAGAGAGGAGACACGTCTGTGAAGCTATAGGTAATAAAACATTCCCGCTCTAATGAAACACAATGCAAAGGGCGATCTTAGAGCCGCTTCTGACTGATAGTGTTTGCTGTTTAGATGCAGAGGGAAACCAGGCGGTTCTAAAAGAGGAGCGCTACCAGGAAATCCTTCAGAAGAGGAACTTGGAGGACCTTTCCAGAGCACAGGCAGAGGATCTGGCTTTCCTCTGGGCAGAAGTTGAGCGCCTGAGGATGAAGAACTTTCCTTTACTTAATCAGTTGAACCACTACTGAGCAAAGGCTTCTCAACAGATAACCCCATTTTATTTACTTTTCTCTTTTAACATGAAATTTACAACTTAAGCTGTGAACAAAAATGGTATAGCAGCAACAAATAAAACAACAAGTTAACCCAGCATATTTATCTGGAGTTATTATTCTGCAACAAACAATGTGTGTGTCTTTTAAAGCATATTTATTAGGCAGTGAAGTCTTCCTCTCTACGGTCAAAGTGCAGAATCCCATCCTCCAGACCAAAGAGGTCGATAAGCCCCGACAGGCTGGCCTTTCCTCCGTCTATGGGGACGTCTGACTGGAGCTCGTACAGCGCAGACTGAGCACAACTCCGCCACTTGTCAATCAAGGTTTGGAGCTGTGTTAAATCATTCTAGGGAGACAAAATAAAGTCAAATAAAATCAACACTTTCAGTCCAGTTTAAGCAAAATAAACCCCATTATTTTCATGTTAGGGGCAACCGGAGGGGGCTGATACCTTGCTTCTGTACATTTGAACCATCTTGAGTCTGCGGAGAGTCTCCGTCTTGTCTTTAACCTCCTTCCTCAGTCGGTCTAGTTGTTGCGTAAAGTCTTTAGAGGGAAGAAGTGCTGGTTCGGGAACGGGTCCAGAAAATCTCTCACTCCCTGGTCTCGCCTCATTTCTGTTTACATCTGCGTTGGGAATGATCAGTGGAGGGTTATTAACCGTCTCTGCTGAAACTTGTTGGCCATCCTCCTCCTCCTCCTCATCAACACAAAGGCGTTTGGCCACAGAGGAGGGCGAGGTGAAGGAGCGCCTTGATCTCTTCAGCCTCTCCTTCAGTGAGGCACTCAGCTTCTGATGATGCTGTGGAGATGACAGTCAAAGACAGGGTGTCAATGTGTCATGATAGCAGATATTAGATCACGTTTAATCAAATGACAGAACTAACAGTTTTGATAGGACCCTACTAACATGCATTAAAGTGACCTTTGACCTACCTTTGGCTCTTTATACTCGCAGGGGCTGGACTGTGGAGAGCACACAGGTTTGGATTTGGCTGATTTGGGAGTGATCTCCATCGGTAAACTCACTCTGACTCATGTGAACCAGCGTTGTTGTTGCTGCTGTAAGCTAACGTTACTCACATAGCTTCTCCCCAACAAACACGACAGAAAGTCAACCAACACAAACACTCAACCAGACGTTCAGACGGACGCCTTCGCGATAACTAGCGAGCAACCAGCGGAGATTTCGCCAAACGCGGATTAAAGATATAAACCAGTGAAAGCGAAGAGAGACTTTCTGTTTTTCCTTATTTTTTTTGCGGCTCAAGAAAACCTCCAAAGTCAGCGATTGGACGGGATTTGATGACGCACAACCGAGGAGGATCTCGGGAAATGCAGTTCTTACCGACTAGGTACACAGCAAAAGTTTTAGACTCAATATAATGTTATTTCACATACATAAAACGCACATTATATCGATTAGGCTCCATCATCGGACAAAATGACAAAACAAAACCACAGATACAAGTTTATTGTTTATTACAGGGCAATTTAGTCAAATAATACATTTAGCCTATCTGTTGAAAATGTAGTCAATAACCAAATCCAAGTATCACAATATTAAAATAACATAACTTGTTTATTAATGTTCATTACTTTCGGTAATGGATTACAGTTACCTTTTATTTAATATCCTGATTACATAACTCAGTTACATGTAATTTGTTGCTCCCCAATACTACTACTACTACTAATAAAACATATTATAATAAGTAAATTAGCACATTAAATTAAGAAGTACATACTTTAAATGGTTTTTAGAGGAGAGAGCCGTACTGGATGGGATTGTCCAGTGGGATTAAAAGGAGACACATTGACACAAAATGAACTCCTCAAAGGAAGTGAAATAGGAAAGGTTTTTTGTGGGCCTGTGGACAGTTTCGTTGTTGAAGTGTTCCTCGGTTACCCTCGTTACTAGGGTCGAGTCACATTGTGATTCAGCTCTTCTCATCTGTTGATTCATCTCTATTAAAGGATTTATTTAAAACTCCTACAGACTGATGTGTTCATCGTTTGTTTTGAGACTCGTGCAGCACTTTTTAAAAAAAAATACAGTGTTTCTCTGTAGCCGCAGGGAGAAAGGTGTGAATTAAAACGTGATCCTGCCTAGACTTGATCATCAGAACTTGGCAGTTTGACTTTTCATACCCGAGGGAATGGGGATTTTTAACATTTTATATGGATGAATCTCGCAGGGCTTAGGGATGAAGATAATTACTATGTATAAGTTTTCTGTGCTTTTTCACTTTTGAATAGTTGACATGAAATAGTTTGCCTGCTCCTCTGCGATGTATGAAGTAAATGTAGCATTGGTATGGGTTTATAGAATCTAGAGGCTGCGTGAGAGACTGAGCAAGGGTGCCAGCTCCTTCATCAAATGCAGGTGTGTGTGTGTGTGTGTGTGTGTGTGCTGGGCGCTCGTAAATTAGGCCCCATGTCATGTTTGTGCAGGCTATTAATTCCTCTCAAGATGCACATATGGATCAGCAGTGCGATACTATCCCCTCTGCACATCTAATATGGTTTGAATATTTTGTAATTTTGCACGGATTGTCTTGAATTCAGTCTTATACACAAGAGATTCTTGACATCAGATCTTTTCTCTTAGGTCCCTTTTTCTAGTGGAGGAGTTGGGATTGTCCCGTGGTTGGCTGACGAAGCTGTTTTGTAATTTTTTGGTTAGTAGGTTATTTTGATTTCCAGTTGGTACTCCGTGTTATCTGCAATCTGCTATCTCTGTGTTTCCCTTTTATTTGGTGCCAGTGTCCCGTCTGCACACTTCCTCATCTTCCATGTTTACATAACATGCTTTTTTTTTTTTTTTAAGATTAGATTTGTATTTTGATAGAGCAGCTGAAGAGTGACAAGAAAGTGGGAAGAGAGAGGTAGCATGACAAAGCAAAGGGAAGCAGGTTGGAATCAAACCTGGGCCGCTGTGGTAAGCACTCAGCCTTTGTACACACTTTCTAAATCTCAGCCCAAGGCACAGCCACAAAATGACCTATTAATGTAGGTTCTGTGCTAATTCAGAACAAATGTGCACTGCAGCAGTGGCTGTTTCGGCCCCCTTTGGGTCTGGTGTAATTAGCCTTTTTCACAGCAGACATTTTGATTGGTCATATAGAGCACATGTGTTACTAATAACATTAACGTTGGCTCTGTTCTATTTAAGTGTCTCAGTAAGTCACGACTGTGTGACAGCGAGGCAGCATGAGCAATACCAGGACCCTGAAAGTGAAGCGTGCTAAATGGAATTCAACCATCGTTATTTTTTCATTATTTACAGCTGTGCTACTCATACTGTAAAAATGTCAGAGTGTAGTGCTTTTGAAATGTTTGACCTGCAGCCTACTGATTGTTGTGTTAGTTGGATGTAGTGGGTATTGCAGATCCTTCCTGAATATCACCCCGAATGAGATGAGGGTGTGTTTTCTTCCACGGTCATAGACTGAATGAAATAAAATACTGTATTTTGAATATACATATGAAGACTATTAAGAGGCTGCAACTGTCAGTTACTTCTTCTTTTTCTGAATTAACAGATTAACCATTAGATCTATAAAATGTTAAATAAAATCATAATTTCCTGAAGCTTTTTCCTTTTGTCCAAAACTCCAAAACCTAAATATTATTTAGCTATTATTAAAAAGATGAAGAAAAGCTGCAGATCTTCACAATTTAGAAGCTGTTACTGGGAAACAAGTTTTCTACGTGACTTCTACAAGATGAAAAATAAACTCTTACGCTCTCTCCACATCACTTTCTCTAAGCCAAGTATCCAGGTACATAAATACAGATAAAATCCAGTCAAGGGCTTGAGCTGCCTCTCCTTTGTTCAACCACACACACACACACAGTGCCGCCTTCCTGGAATTTATTCTCTGCTGTTTTTTCTGGGGAGAGATTTTACCAGAGAGGGTTTACCAGCTTAACTTGGAACAAAGTGTGACATCCATGAAAAGATGAGCCTCAGCTTTATCTCTTTAAAACTGTCAGAAACGTCCCGTCTGGAGTTGTCTATTATCTTTTATAGCTAACAATAAACAAGTGATGCCTGATGCCTGCAGAGAAATGGTGCCTGCGGGAGATTTCAGCAGACAGATGAAGACGCATGTGTGCAGAGATTATTTCACAGCCAGCTGCATGAGGAAAAACAATATCTGCCATCAGTTTGTGTAATGTAACACAATGTTTTCTGGTTTAGCCGAGGAAAGCTGGTGGTTTCTTTACAACATCCTACTGTCACTTTCACGGTGAATCATTAATATGTAACATTATCTTGATGAACCTGAAGTGATTAAGTTCTTTGCTATGTAATGCACTTCTTTTGAACTCTAATCTCACCTAATTTGGACACTTTTGAAACTACTGCCCCCCCACTTGTTCCAGAGAACAAGCCCTCCTCTGAAAAGCTGTTATCCTCAACACAGACATGAGTGTGTGTCAGCCAAAAAAAAGGCTGAACAAGCCAGTCAGTTTGATTTTTTCACCATCCTGGAATCTGTTGTTTTAAACCAGCCCCTTTCCGTTAGATATGGCATTATTCAAGCTTGCACATAAATGTGAGTTGGAGCAGCTCCTCCTCCGTTAAACTGTCCTTGGGGCCATTTGTTTTCCATCATTTGAGCAGATTGGAGTCATGCTCGCTGTGAGTCATGCAGGGTGGGTGGATGTCTACACAGGGTGTGGTGGGTGAGGGATCCTACTGCCACTTGCGGCTGCCTGTGGATGAATAAAGCATCCAATTTGGCTCAAAATGCAAAATGAATAGATAGGGAACTTTCATTATGATCATAAAGTTAAAAACAGCTCATATGGGAGTGTGCTTGTGGTGGAAACAGTCTGACGCTTCATCTCCAGAGTCAGATGAGCAGTATCATAATTCCTAATCTCAACAGTAAACTGGAAAACTGATCCTCCAGCAGCTGCACAAACACGCAGAAGTGCCTGTTGTGCAAAAGACGTGGAAGTAAAATTACAATATAGTGAGATTGCAGGCTGCTTTTGCCCTGAAAGAGTGTTGGTGCGTGTGGTAAAATGCTGTTTGGTTATGTAATAACACAGTGGCTGAAACCATATAGACTAAAAGTTCTGTTTCGACTTCCAATGTGTGCTCCAGATGTGTTCCAGCTGCTGGATTTGCTACACACAATAGATCAGCAGACCCTGAGATGGTTGCACTCCTTCAATCCATAAAGAAAAAGAAAGAAAGAAAGAAAAAAAAGAAAAAAGAAATCCC